CTGAATGGATTGATTGTAAATATATATTTTTTATGAGAATGTAATGTATATTTTAGAAGTTATGAATATGCTGTTAAAACTGTATTATTTCTGGCCAGCAGATAATTGAGCTTTGTGTATTGTAGAAACTCAATTATCTAGCCTGGCCCAGAGGAGGAGTTTTGTGTTGCATAAATTGTGAGTTCTGTGTGCCAGTAAATCAGTCTTGTTCCAGCATTGGCTCATGTTTGGGGGATTGGAGAAATACACTCTGGGGATTGCTATAATCACTATACTCCCCAGGGTATGATCACTAAGTTCTGCTAGGAGCTTGTTCCTGTTCCTGCTCTCTGGGGAAAGAGAGGTTCACCCACTGGAAGCTGGATCCTGGCCTTGGGTCCAGGGTGGGTGGAGACAGCAGAGACCCCGGCGCAGTTGCATCGCTGGAAGTGGGGTCTGCAGTGCTGATGGTGTCAGTTGGAGTGTTTGGAGTCCTCAGCGAGCACTAGGAGCATCGATTGGCGGAGGTACTCAGTCGGAGTGCCAGCGGTCCGTCACAGTGTGTAAGCGGAATCATCGGGCTGGGTGTGGGTAAATGTGAGTCTCTGTTCTGCGGTTCGGTATGTATGCACGTAGGTGCTCCCCCCCCCCAACACAAAGATGGTGTATGATGACCCACCTCCCCTCCTCCCCACACATATCGGCATATACATTCCCCATCCCCCTTCTCCCGTAATTTCATGCCTGAGTAGTAGATGTGGACACATGCACATTTCGAGTATAGCGGGAAGCCAACTCAGGTTCAGGTGAAAAGTACCAACATTGCACGGATCTGCTATGGGTCCCGCGGTTGTGAAAGTCCCAGAGTTGCTACATGGAGCATCTAATTCCCCCCTCCCCCGAATATCCCTCTCCCCAACAAAGATGTACGGGCCCCTAAAGGGGGAGAGTCCCATAGGGAGTAGGGATCGGGATTAATGTCACGGACTATCATGTGCGTGAATTCCCAGTGTGTTGCCGCATTCCCGGGATCCCCCCCGCCCAAAGCCCATATGTGAAGAGCCCTTTTTACCTGTGTTTATTCCGTACACTACCTCCTCAAATCAGGGGTAATCGAGGGGCCAGATCATGGAAGAGCTGTCCGCAAGGGTTGGTGTTGCAACATGGGTCAGGTGGGTGTCGAAACTGGCCGGGTTTCTCTGGTGTTTAGAATGCTGGCCATCAACCCGGATAAGTAAGCCTACTCACTCCTCCGGAGACATCTGATTCCTGTGTCGACTGGCAGGTTGAGTCGATGGGGACCTCGCATCCCGACGTATAGGCCCACTCTGCGGCCTCGGTCTCAGTGGCCCCAGTATCCAGTTGGGGACTGGTTGTGGTGCAAGGCCTAGCTCCCCCATAAACCGTGGTACCTCCTCGGGCCAACGTAGGGAGATCCATCCATTGTGGTGCCTGGCCATCAGGGTGAACGGCAACCCCCATTTGTATGCTATATTGCGGTCTCGCAGTGTGGCAGTCACCGGGCGGAGTGCCCGTCGGGCCTCCAACGTTATAGGAGACAGTGACACTTGTGCTCCTCTGTAGGGCCATGTAGGCTGTTCACGGGCCTTTTTCATGATAGCGTCCTTCACCGGAAAAGAATGCATACAACACACAAGGTCTTTCGGACCATCTTCCAGTGCTTGCGGTCGTATTGCTCTGTGTGCCCTCTTGAATTCGATGGTTTGTGGGGCAGTCAATGGTAAAAGGGACTGAAAGAGTTCTGTAAGTATCTCCTCCGCGTTCTCAGCCCCTTCAGCCTCAGGCAGATGTTACACCTCCGGCCTCTATTATCTAAGTCCTCGAGGTGTCGTCGCATGGCCAGGAGCATCTCACCCTGTCGTGCTACCACCGTATCCACCGATGCGAGTCTCACTGTGAGGGCCCCTGTCGCCTCTCCATCGCGGTGATGCGGCCTGCTTGTGAGGCCACCTCCGAGCGGATCCCCGCCATCTCTGCCCTTGTATCCTGGATGGTGGTGGTGAGGGCCTGGAGGTCAGCCTTTGTGACCATAGAAGCTGTCAGACTCTACAGCTCATCCCCTATTCTTTCGAGGGCCGGGTTTTCGGAGCCCGCCGGGGATGTCGGCACCATCTTGGGACTTCCCGTCTCCCCGGGTTGTGGTTGCAGGAATCTGTCCAGGAGGCCTTGTTGTGAGTTTCTCGGGGTCTGTGGTTGCGACCCATTTGACTGCAATTTGAATGTGACCCATTTGACTGCAATTTCTGCTTATTAGGTGCTATTTAGGGGTCCGGCGGAGCGGAGCTCTCAATTCACGCGGCCATCTTGGTCAGAGCCGGAACCACGCTCCCTTTACTGTATGTATTGGGGTTGATGCGTACTATGGTCGTTGCTTCCAAGCAAGAGTGATGGGAGTGAGCGCAGGACTTGTCTTTTTGTATTTGTATTCACTTTTTGTATCACACAGCTATGGTACAATGCTGCCGCCCATCCCATGTGTTCCCTATTAAGAGTTAATAAGTATATGGAGGTGTATCTGAAAAATACCCCTCTCTGTCTCATTAGAGATATCTTTGCCAGAAGCTTTCTTTGGAACTCATTGGCTCCAGGCACAAGGTAAAGTTGTCTCTGCATGTAAGCTTCCTGGACTCGCTGGTGTGTGAAGAGGGTTATTGATCCCTTTTTTGCCCCTATTCTCGCCATCTTAAATTTCTTGTCTCATCCTATCTTTTAATCAATGTGATGCGTATCGCTATATCAGCGGAATACATCCACATTAAGGGTCTTTTGGTGGGCAGAGACCTTCTTTCATGGTGACTTACTTACGGTATTCAGTTACGGTAGTCTTTGGTTTCTAAATATTCTCAACTTTAGGACATTTCTTGTGTCTTACACTTTTTACAGGGTTTGGAGAATTGTCCTCTTTGCCAACTATCAGCAAAGTTTACACTTTTGCGTTTAGTGTCTTTTTGGCAGTTGTTGGGCATTCACGCCTTCAACGTGGCTGCATATACCTTTTCTCTGTAGAGTATTACCATCCATATTTCACAACGTGCTGAACTGGATTCTGCTAGTTTCTTATCCCTTTTTCCTGTTGGATCTGAAACATTGTGTAGCATCCATCGTGAAATCCTTATGCTCATCTGAATCGGGTCAGCTACTTATTTCCTACAGTAAACCTCAGAAGCAAGTTCCGGTTACTAGAAGAATTTAATGGCTTCTATCGTTGGCAGGAATTGACTTGTCTTTTGGCAGACTTATAAAGGCAGACTTTATCCATCGGCAGCAATCTTCAACACAGGATGTATAGGATTTATATGCTCACCTACAGCCTTTTTAAATGTAACATTTGCTATAAGGAAGCACCAATAACAAGTAATAGGAACATATGAAATATAGAATATCCCCATTCCTGTACTACCCAGTAATCTAAACCACTGTTGTACTTACCTGACACAATAAAGTACACACAAAGCAGCTGGTGACAGAGAAATATAGATGTCTGCAGGCCTGTTTTCCACAGGCAAGACTGTTATTAAAAACTTGACAGCAACCCGATAGCCTAAGAGGATTAAACCAGACTTTTTTTATGCACCATTAAGGAGAAAATTTAGGTAAGCCAGTCATGGGTATATCCAGTTAGACTTTAATGGGGCACTATAGTCATCAGCAGCATTACAGCTTAATGTAGTGGTTCTGGTGTCTGTAGCATTTCTCTGCGGGCTTAGCATTGTGAACTGTGCTTTTTTTAGAGAAATGGCAGTGTAAACATTGCTGCCTCTAGTGGCCGTCACTAATACAGTCACTAGAGGGACTTCCTGGTTTAGGTCCTGCAAGGTGTGGGGAGATCAGCCAAATAAAACATACGATAAAAAATAAAAATAAATAAGTACAGTACCATCTGCTTGCTACAAATAAATGTTTATGATTGGCAACAAAGGATGAGATTAGCTGCAGAAGTTAGATCTGGAGAGATTGTAAATTAGTATTAATTTCAGTCATGTGGTTACAGTGCATGCCTTACCTTTTCTTAATATTAACACAGAAGTAATGTCCTCAAGTGTCCATTTGCTGCTCAAGCTAATGTGGACGTATCACAGTTTACTTGCAATGGACAACCAATGAGAATGTCAGCTGATGCTTTGACCTGTCATTGCAGCCCCTTGGTTACAAAAGCATTAAATCAGAGAAGACTTACACCTAGGGACATTACTTATAATTTAAAATGATAGAAACAGTTTACCACTAGGTAAGGTAAGACCGCACCATGGATTCCAGCATTTTAACAAGACCCAAAGACATCCAATGCCAAATGAACATGATAATTAGTTCTCAGTGCCTAAACCCTCCTCCTTGTCCCAACATGACAATTCACTGTTTAGTAAATATACCCCTTAAGGAACTTTTCTGTTAAAGGGACACTATAGTCACCTGAACAACTTTAGCTTAATGAAACAGTTTTGGTGTATAGAGCATGCCCCTGCAGCCTCACTGCTCAATCCTCTGCCATTTAGGAGTTCAATCCCTTTGTTTATGAACCCTAGTCACACCTCCCTGCATGTGACTTGCACAGCCTTCCATAAACACTTCATGTAAAGAGAGCCCTATTTAGGCTTTCTTTATTGCAAGTTCTGTTTAATTAAGATTTTCTTATCCCCTGCTATGTTAATAGCTTGCTAGATCCTGCAAGAGCCTCCTGTATGTGATTAAAGTTTAATTTAAAGATTGAGATACATCTGTTTGAAAGTGAAACCAGTTTTTTTTTCATGCAGGCTCTGTCAATCATAGCCAGGGGAGGTGTGGCTAGGGCTGCATAAACAGAAACAAAGTAATTTAACTCCTAAATGACAGTGAATTTAGCAGTGAAATTGCAGGGGAATGATCTATACACTAAAACTGCTTTATTTAGCTAAAGTAATTTTGGGGACTATAGTGTTCCTTTAACTGAAAATAATTAACATTCTCATATTGAAAACCGCCGCTGGAAATCATACAAAAAAAAAAATATAAAGCACAGAGTCTTAATTTGATAAAGGATTTTATTATGGTAAAAACCATGACAGATGTAAGAATGGCATACAAGGAATCTTAACCATTAAAAAGTTCCTTATGCAGGAGCGATATAGTTTGTGCACTCCTCAACTTTCAAACACGCAGAACATTAACAAAATTATATATGCACACACAATCACTAACGTGTGTACTGTCGGGAATTCAAAGTGGATCTAAAATTTTAGGTCAAAATAGTAAAAAAATCTAACCACTCCAGACCATGATATTTCCCAAACTTGGCTATTTTTGTCTAAAATGGTATACACATTTCACCTAATAACCGACAGAATTTATTGAAAATGTTTCAGATGGCATAATACTAACTAAATAAAGAAGCTAGTCACTTTACACTTTAGCGTGTATATATATATATATATATATATATATATATATATATATATATATATATATATATATATATATATATACACACACACACACACACACACACACACAAAACAGAATTACAGAGCAGTAGTTGGTAAGCAATAAATATACCATAACATCTAATTGTACAAACAACAAACCTGAAACAAACAAATTTATGAAAATAATGACTTCTCAGACATTGCCTTAAGAACATTAACCTTAATAGGAGTACATCTTTTATTTGTGGGAAAGTCAGTTTTAGCTAAATTAAGTTGAGACACACTTTGGAAACTGAATTGAAGTTTAGGTTAAAAAAAGCGAGAGGAAAAAAAAAAAAAAGAAGAAAAAAACAGAATCTTCAACTCAGCTATACGCATGAGTATTTTAACCATTTTTTGTTTCAGTTCACTACCGTTTGGTGTTTAATTTAAATCTCTTAGTGCCTTTTTTTTTCTCTTTCTTTCTTCTTCTTCAAATAAGAAGTAGCCCTACCCACAAGCTTTATCCAACAACTCACTTTCTCTACCTCACACACAATCGTATAATTGATCCCTATGCTGGGGTTAATGTTCTCCAAGAAAGATTTTGGTGTTTAGTAAATAAAATCTCTAAAGGTTTCTTCGCAAATATACAAGTATTGTTAACTGAACAAAATCTTTTTGTGTTTGGAGTCTGGAATCTGTCCACGAGATTTCAACCTACGGAGGGCTTCTCGCATATGTCGAGGCTGGAGAGGTGGATTCTCTGCCCACTTTTCACAAACATCCAATGCTAGAAGGGAGAGAAAAAAATTCATGATTAAAAAAAAATAAAATAAATAAGTAATTGAAGCTAGATTAAAGGAACACTTTATTGTTAGGAATACAAACAAACATTACAGTGCTCAATAGCAGTTTAGGTCCTAAGCCCCACACAGAGTGGAGATTAAAGGTGTTACTAGGCAGCAATGTAAACACTGCCTTTTCCATGACATTTACATTAAGCTGTAGTGGTTCTGGAGGCTATAGTGTTCCTTTAAGACATTATTAATATTCTTAAAAAAAAAGAACAAACTTTGCATTTGAAAGAAACACAGTTTCAAATTATGCTGCTTGAACACTAAAACACCTAAAGTGGATAAACAGGTGAAGTTATTTTTCTAGACACAGCCCCATCCATTACACATATTCTTCTTTTAGACCTTTCCACTCGCAAATTCTTAACTTTGCCAATTCTTGATTTTTCACACAGGGAAGCCATCATAAACACGAAGACAACTGTATGTGGCATCGAAGGGTATGAAAGTATCAAAGTGAAAGACTTGACTGATAGTCCCCATAATAGATTGATTACAGTGGAAGTGTGTATGTGTTCACAACTGTGAACTTTCCTCAGGACACCTGGTGTCCTGGGGAAAGTTCACAGTTGTGAACTGAAACGTTGACCACTTGGATTAAATGCCTATTTTTTCATGCTGAAGTCCTTGAGTGCTGGCTTTCTTTTTGGAGACTGTATTTGTGTGCAGCTGAGCACTGGGCCAAGATCTGGAGGAGAGCTGGAGTGCAAAACTCCCATCGTATATATATATATATATATATATATATGTGTGTTTTTAAAAGAACACTCTACACACGGTTGTGGTTATAGTGTCAGGATCCCCCTGATGCACTCCCAGTGTAATTTGTCATACTGCTTAAGAACAGTTTAACAATTTAACTGGATCCCATTGGGAGCCTACACCTGTAAGCCCTGCTTCCGTATTCTCCTTGTAAGAGAATTCAGTTAGTTCCACTGAGCAGGGCAGTGCTTATTGTTTGCGAGCGTCAGTGTCAGTTTCCCTATGGGAAAGCGATAGATTGGCTGAAGTCATCAGTTCTGATGATGTCAGCCAAGGAAGTGGATTGGGGACAGGGCCAGTGGATCGGCACAGTGCTGGAAAAAGGTGAGCTTGATTGCCTTTTAAGGGGTGAGTTGGGTTAATGGTTTTAACACTCTAGGGTCAGGAATACATGTTTGGGTTCCTTTAACTCTATGAAGATATCCTGTGCCTTCTGCAGGGAAAAAAAATAAAATGCAGCGCTTGTCCATGGGATCCATGGATCCACAAAAATTGTTGTACAAATTACACATGGCGTTTATTCTGAGTTTGCTGAAGACCCCATTAAGTTGAATACAAGAGGACATAAGAGAGAGTAATGAGTGTTGGCATGGGTGAGGCTGATTGTATTGCTGAAGTGCTTTAGGAGCTTGGAATGTTCTTTTAACATGGCAGTTATCTGACAAACAACTGCAGACATCCTTTACCTAAAATGGGGAACACAATACAAACCACAGACTCACCTTCCTCTACAACTTCACCTACAAAGACCTTGGCAATTCCTGACATTGCAATAACAACATTCTGGGACACCGAGCATCCTGTAATAGACTGAATCAGCTGCAATACAGAATGATAACATAATGCTAAATGTTAGATGGTGGCAAAGTAAAAAAGTGTCAGAGCCAAGAGATATCATGAAATACAGATAACTTTGAAACACATTCAAAGTATTTCATACCCGTTTTATTGCTGCTTTCGGGAATGCAGATCGACGATACATCTCATAGCGGTTCAGCTGTTCTTCTGAAAAGGAGGACACCAATATCCTACAGAAAATTACAAAAAAAAATTTATGTCTCAATATACAAGGAGATCTCCTGTCTTTTAAATTTCCTCTGAGAAACTCACTGCATCTTCTGGATTTCATCCTCATCAACCTTCTGTTTCTTTTCTCTACGCTCCTTTATTTCTACTTTTATTTTCTTATTCTGAGAGAGATCAGATGTGTCCTCTCTTTCCGTGACCCCCAATGGGCCTGGACTCTCAGCTTCCTTCACCTTAAAAAAATAAATAAAAATGGTGTATTTTCTTCACAAGATTAAGAAGCATGATTACCCAAACACAAAAGGACTTTAATCTGCAACTGGATTAACATGCCATCTCACAAGGTCTTCCAAAGCAGAAGACACAACTCTGCCATACAAAGCTTATTACATTATTAAATTACCACAGCCAATCACCAGTAATCTTTCTGGCATCACAGAATTGACAATGGTCCTGTGTTGACTTGGCTGTGATCAATAAAATTTTTATTTTTTGTAAAAACAGAAAAACTTAGAAATTTCATTTGGTTGGTTTACTAAAAGGATTATTAGGAATTTAAAGGACCACTATAGTGCCAGGAAAACATACTCGTTTTCCTGGCACTATAGTGCCCTGAGGGTGCCCCCACCCTCAGGGTCCCCCTCCCGCCCGGCTCTGGGGAGAGGAAAGAGGTCCAGCGCTGGGCGGGGAGCTCTCCTCCTCCGTTCCTCCCATTCGGCTGAATGCGCACGCGCGGCAAGAGCTGCGCGCGCATTCAGCTGGTCGCATAGGAAAGCATTCACAATGCTTTCCTATGGATGCCTGCGTGCTCTCAAGCGCCTCCAGCGGCTGTCAATGAGACAGCCGCTAGAGGAATTGGAGGAAGGATTAACCCATTTGTAAACAGAGAAGTTTCTCAGAAACTGCTATGTTTATAAAAAATGGGTTAATCCTAGCTGGACCTGGCACCTAGACCACTTCATTAAGCTGAAATGGTCTGGGTGCCTAGATTGGTCCTTTAACATTGTGAAAACCTTCTATAACCCAATGATCAAAGCCTCTATTTGCAGTGTGTGAACTTGAATGTACAAGTATTGGGACAGATACAGAAAAAGGGAAGCTTCCTTGTTATCATGTTCCCTGCCGAGGAGTGGGTTTAGGATTGCACTTTTAGCCTTCTAAAACTTAAACCACAGACAAAAAAAAGATAAAACGGTTGCAGGTGCTTGAATTGAGCCTTTATAAGAAAGAGTACTCATGAAAGTAATAACTCTTTATCTAATATCACCAAGGTACTGGAATGAAGTAGTGAATGGAAAACTGAATTACCTAATGTACACCAAAATAGCCAAGCTGTGACTATAGCAAAGATGTAGAATTTTTCTAAAGCAACATTAAGCCATATAGAGTTATTTACTAAAATGAGAATTTTTGGAAATTTGAAGTGAATTTCTAATTTTAAGGAACATTATAGTCACACAGACCACTTCATTTTTAAGAGACGGTAATGTTTACATTGTAGGGTTAACGCCTTCTCTAGTGTCTGCCCACAGTCGTGCGACACTGAATCCCTATAGGCAAGCATTGATACAATACTTTCCTGTGGGAATGTTTGAATGTGCTCATGGCATTCTCTGCACGTGTGCATCAGGTCCCCAAAGCTCCTCTATTATGAGTGTTGGATTGGACATCACAGAGGAGGCCTCTAAGCTGGAACAAGGTGAGTGAATCTTTATTTTTGTAGAATTTATTTGCATTTGGGGTTTGTGTGTGTGACTTACCTACCAGTAGTGACAGGAACACTAAAGCGTTAGAAATACAGATTTGTATTCCTAAAGCTATAGCGTTCTTTTAAGGCCAAAACAGTTGAACTGGAAAACAAAAAAATAAGTTAGAGCCAGATGCCTTGGTTATTCAGCCCTTCAAAATGTGCCTGTAACACTGAAATATTATACAGTAGTCATGATGCAACGGCCCTCTATGTGCAATATTTCAGAATGAAAACAAACTAAATTGGCCAGTTCAGAATGAGAGTTTCAGATTGATAAATGTTTATGTGCATAGTTTTTTGCACACATGTTAGTTCATTGGCTGAGTTCCCTCACAGTACAGCACCAGGTCAGCTGCAGTAATTATAATGCAGGGAGTAACTGTTTAAAATTTACCTTACTTCTTGTTTGTTTTTTTTATCAGCTGCTCTTTTAACTCCTTACTGACTGATCTTTTGTTTTATGATATATACTATAATGTTCATGTCTTGATGGTATTTTCTGTTTTATAAGCCTAGGTGTATTCACCATCTCAGACATGTATGCATCGCCTTGATCAAGCCTGACTACTTTTTATAAAAATGTGCTGTTATAACGAATGTCATACCAATGTGTTACTTTGTTTATTACTCGGACTGCTTACTAATGTTGTGGCATTACAAGCTTACTTGTATTCAAACGCACAGAAAAATAAATTCATTAATTAAAAATTACTTTACTACTGGCATTCAGCTTGATTTGCACAGCACATTGCTAGTTATATATCTTGTGTAAAACATAAGTTAAAAATCACAACAAATGCATATAATTTAGGATGTTGAAGTCAAACCTTTCCCGATAAGCTTGGACAGCAATAATAGTTTGTGAGTGTTGCGTGTGATTTAGACAAATTGGTGCCCTCTGCCAATTTGGTCAGGCCCCCAAAAAAAGTTTGGGCATGCCAAGAGTTACAGGACCACTTTAGACATCTAGAGCACTCCATCTCAATAAAATGGTCTGAGTGCATAAGTCTTAATCCTTGCACGTAAAGCATTACCAATTTGTAGCGAAGAAAAAAGAAAGAAAAAGGAAGCATGATTCCATGGGTTAGCAATCTACAACCCACACCTGGCTCTACCTAACCCCTGCACTACATCGTCCCCTAGAGTTCTACACACCACACAGGTCATTCTGTAGTGATGTGTGACGTCATGGCGTCACAACAGAATGGGCAGTGAGGGAGCTGTGCTTAGAACTAATGTAAGCTGCTCCTCATGGCTCCCTCACACCAAGGACACCAAGGATGATGCCCTTTCAGGACTTAAGTGATGGGTCTACCTCATGATGTTCATTGAGAGATTCCTACTTAACTTCAGTGTCTGTATGAGAGTGTGTATGTGTGTCTGTATGACTATGTGTTGTATGACTGTGATACACTTAAAGGGACACTATAGGGGCACGCCTCCCTGGCTCCATCCCTCAGCTTTCAGTGAGCTGGACGTCTGCCTCAGCCCTGGTCATCCCAGGGGCTCAACAGGCTCACAAATCCCTAGAGCCTGGAATTTGTCGAGCCCTGGGTTAAGTGCACCCAGACCACTTCAAAGATATTAAGTGGCTTGAGTGCTAATTCTCAGCCAATCCAATGCTTTCCCACAGGAAAGCAATGGGAGGCTAATGCACATGCACAGCAAAACGTTGTGCTGTGCCAATCAGCATCTTCTCACAGAAATGCATTGAATTCCTGCAACTCTATGGAGAACGTTCAGCGATTTCATGCAGAGCGTGGATATACTGAACGTCAGTGTTGCACAGACCCAGGAAGCACCTCCAGTGGCCATCTGAGTGATTGCCACTAGAGGTGTTAATAGACAGTAAATGAAAAGGCAGTGGTTACATTGAAAAGCCTACAGCAGGCTTCCTCAAACTCCGGCCCTCCAGATGTTGCTGAACTACAACTCCCATGATTCTATGAATGAAATAGATAGGCTGAGAATCAATGGAGTTGTTGTTCAGCAACATCTGGAGGGCCGGAGTTTGAGGAAGCCTGGCCTACAGGGACTGAATATACTGAACAATTACATTAAACTGTAGTTGTTTTAATTAGATATTGGCCCTATAAGTTGAAAAAAGTATGTATTCGATCAGTACAGATTCCTCTTGGTCTGTTCGACTAGAACATCAAATAGAATTTCCTTAGAACCCGCATAACTGCTCAGCAGACCACAACGTTCCACTCGTTTTCTACATTATCCCCACTACAACCACAACAGTTTTCGAACAGATTTCCATTGCACACCAAGAACGACAGATATCATTTTCACTACCTATCATCAGAACTCACTTCATCCTCCCCCTCATCCCTCTGCCTCTTCTCTCGCTGCTCTGCAGAAGGCTCCGGTGTTTCCTTTTCCTCCTCGCTCTGTGTCCCATGCACAGAAGGTATCTCCGCCATTCTAGAAACTATTCATTAGCAATTGATTGAACTAAAACACTGTAATGCAACTTCCGAGTAATAAACACAAGAGAAACGTTACGAACTGTACTTCCGTTTCCTCAAGCGCCATATTGTTGGAGTCACTGAACCATCGACATAGGGACACGTTGTGCCTTTTGTAAGCTCTCTTTTGTTTTTTCTCTCTCTATCGTAATAGGCACACGACGTTATTACGTTTGCTGCTCTTTTCTATCGCAACTATCGTAGTATATGTTAATCTGTTAAACAAAATATATGCAAGATTATTATTTTTTGAATCATATTGATGGAATGTGAAGAAAGCTTTAACATATGGTTAGTCAATGAGAATTTATCACTTAAACAAAATTTTGCCCGCAGGTTGTGCTCTTTTTGTTTTTAATCATACATTTTTATTTACGTGCTCTCGAATATTATGTAAAATAGTTTACTGATGGTGCATGGTTATATATGGTACTACTGAATTAAACCTTGGCGTTTTGTGCATTTCTGGCAGAGTGGTAAAATGGTAATGTATACTTTCCCATTAGCAATATCAATTCTGTCTAAATTTGGACCACTTTCATGCGTGGACATGTTAGCTGATGTGCTCATCCAGTTAAAGGACCACTATAGGCACCCAGACCACTTCAGCTCAATGAAGTGGTCTGGGTGCCAGGTCCATCTAGGGTTAACCCTGCCTGCTGGAAACAGCAGTTTCAGAGAAACTGCTATGTTTACTTTAGGGTTAATCCAGCCTCTAGTGGCTGTCTCATTGACAGCCGCTAGAGGCGCTTCCGCACTTCTCACTGTGATTTTCACAGTGAGAAGACGCCAGCTTCCATAGGAAAGCATTGAGAATGCTTTCCTATAGGCTGTCTGAGTGCGCGCGCAATAACATCCGAAGAGGGAGGAGAGTCCCCAGCGCCGAGGGAGCCAGGTACTGGAGAAAGGTGAGTGTTTAACCCCCTTCCTCCCCCTTCAGCCCGGCGGGAGTGGGACCCTGAGGGTGGGGGCACCCTCAGGGCACTATAGTGCCAGGAAAACGAGTTTGTTTTCCTGGCACTATAGTGGTCCTTTAATACCATCCATGAATACTATGGTTTTGTCTTTAACCATCAGCAATAAAGAGTGACTTGCAATGGGTAATAATCATTAGACTTGTGCACAAATAATCCCTTTCATTTGCTGTGAACAAATCAAATGCCCATCAATCTATAGATGGACGAATCAATTCTTTTGGTGTTTGCCCAATGGGCATACAATTGAGCCATTCAAAACAGCTGAATGGGATTTGTGGACAAATCTTATACCCATCTCTTAAAAACAGCTTATCCTTCCCTCATATTTTATAGAAGAGAGCATCTCAGACGTTGGTAGATCAGACGTAATGATCCAGCATACATTTTACCTTGGCTCCATAGCAGTAAAAACAGTAAAGACAAACATGCCCTCCTCAATTCAAATGCCTGCTTTTCCTTTGAACACATATTCTAATACATTAAATGGCAAAAAGACATGGTCTATGGACTGTGATTGGACTACCAAAATCTGTTGTAAATAAAGAAACTACTTACCATAGAAGTGTCTTTATCAACTACAGATGTTAAGGTACGCTCTTTTCATATAAGTGGATAAGCCATTTAGATGTTAAGGTACGCTCTTTTCATATAAGTGGATAAGCCATTTAGAAAAAAACAAATGTTAGTAGTCTAATGCTATAAAGCCAATGATATAACACGTGATAAACAACGTCTGCTCAGCATTTTTGAAGTTTGTCTCATTCCTGTGCTGAAGGGAATTTACAGTGGTAATAAAAAGTATGTGAACCATTTAGAAATGACTCCATTTATGTATAAATTTGTTCTTGTACATGTTGAATATATCATTCAAAATTTCACAGTATAAGTTGGAAAAAAATATGTAAAACCTAGGCTAATGACTTCAACAAAAGCTAATTCGTGTTGGGAACTGGCAAACCTTATGTCCAATTAATGAAACAAGATTGGAGGTGTGGATTAAAGCTACTTTGACTTAGAAAAAGCACTTTTAAACATTTTGAGTTTGCTATACACATAAAGTATGTGTTGATGTGAACCATGCTTTGCAAAAAAGAGCTCTCTGAAGACCTCCGATCAAAAAATTGTTCCTTTGCATAAAGCTAGAAATGGTTAAAAAGTTACCTCCAAAAACTTATATCAGGCGTGTACAACCCGCCGAACACAGGTTGCATGCGACCATGAACCTCTTGTAATGCGGCCCAGTTGCTGTACGGGCTGCCGGGAGGCAGGGAGCCCACTACTTACTGTACTCTTTTTGCACAGCTCCCTCGCGTGCCCTGCAGTGAGCTGATTATAGGTCTGTGATTGTATGTGTGCGTTTGTGGGTCTTTAAAGAACATCTTCAATCAAGTATGTGTTCCTTTGAAAATTAAGATAGTCTGTGTCTGTGATTGTATGTGTGTGGGTCTATGATTGTGTGTATGTGTGTGATTGTGTTATAGGCCTGTGATTGTGTGTATATATATATATATATATATGTGTGTGTGTATATCTGATTATGTGTATTTATGTGATTATGTGTATGTATGCGATTGTATGGGTCTGTGATAGTATCTGTGCATGAGTGGGTCTGTGATTATGTGTGTGTATGTCTCTGTGTGTATAGGTCTGTGATTGTGCTGCCTGGGTCCAAGGATGAAATGCTGCACACCCCAGCAACCCCCAAAAAACCTGAACACGCCCACATTCATTTTGTTAAGCAGTGTGTATAGCGAACAAATGCAGTGTCTGTGTAGTGGGTGCAGTGTGTGTAGTGATTGAATTGTGTGTGCGTGTGTTACATAGTTGCATAGCTGAAAAGAGACTTGCGTCCATCAAGTTCAGCCTTCCTCGCATATGTTTTTGCTGTTGATCCAAAAGAAGGCAAAAAACTAGTCTGAAGCACTTCCAATTTTGCAACAAACTAGGAAAAATTCCTTCTTGACCCCAAAATAGCAGTCAGATATCTCATTGGATCAAGCAGCTATTACCCCAATAATTAGAAATTATATCCCTGTATGTTATGTTTTTGCAAGTATTTATCCAATTGCTGTTTAAACAGCTGTATGGACTCTGATAAAACCACTTCTTTCAGCAAGAATTCCATATCCTTATTGCTCTTACTGTAAAAAAAACATTTCTTTGCCTTAGATAAAATCTCCTTTCTTCCAGCCTAAATGCGTGACCTCTGGTCCTATGTATAGCCCTGCTTATGAATATATTTCCAGATAATGGTTTGTACTGGCACCCGAATATATTTGCATAATATTATCATATCCCCTCTGAGGCGCCGTTTTTCCAAACTAAAGAGATTAAAATTTTTTAACCTTTCTTCGGAACTAAAATGCTCCATTCCTTTTATCAAATTTGTAGCTCGTCTCTGCAGTTTTTGTAGTGCCATGATATCCTTCTTTAGAACAGGTTCCCAAAATTGCACAGCATATTCAAGGTGTGGTCTTACCAACGATTTATAAAGCAGCAAAATTATATTTTCATCCCAAGAATTTATTTCCCTATTTATACATGACAAAACCTTACTGGCCTTAGCAACTGTAGATTTATATTGCATATTGTTGCCTAATTTGTTGTTTATAAAAATTCCCAAAATCCTTCTCGTGTGTGGTTATCCCTAATTCATTACCATTTAGGGTGTAAGTTGCTTGTGCATTCTTGACCCCTAAGTGCATAACGTTGCATTTCTCTACATTAAATGTCAACTGCCATTTTAGTGCCCAGTCCCCCAATCTATCTAAATCCCTCTGCAGCAAAGCAATATCCTGCTCACATTTTATTACTTTACAAAGTTACATTCTTGCTAGAACTCATCCCCAGTTACCAAAAACACAAGTGACCAAAACAATATTTACCCTCTTGGTTTAAATTCGTTTATAGTGTAACCCCTTAAGGACGGCGTTCTATGCCGTCCTTAGGAACCCGGTCCTTAATACTTACCCGGTCACCGGCGATCGCGGTGGGGACACACACCTGGTATCCCAGGGAGTCCCCCTGCTTCAGATCTGGCTCTCCTGGGCCATGTGATCGCGAGGTCCTTGCAAGGACCTCACAATCACCTGGACGACATAGCATAGAAATGACAGGCAGTCCCCGTGCTGGCTGTAAAATGTAAAATAAAAGTTTAAACACAGTTAAAAATTAAATAATATATGCTTAGATCATATATATATTTATTATATATATATGATCTAAGTATATATATATACATTTACACATACACTAAGTGTATTTTAATATTTATATATATATATTATATACATATATTCATTTCAAAATACACGTAGAATGATATTGATTAAATATATATAATTATAATTATATATATTTATATATAATATAAAAAATATGTAAATACGTTAAAAAAGGTTTTTAAAAAAATTTAAATATATAAATGTGTTATTTCGTTCTAACTGTATTGTGATATTAATATATATATATATATATATATATATATATTGATATCAAAATACACGTAGAATGAAATAATATATCTTTATACATAAGTATAAACGTATATATCAATACAGTATATATATACCTATACATAAATAAAAATAATTTTAAAAAATTATATATATATATATATATATATACATACATACATGTATATAAATATTGAAAGGCTTGCACTCAAGGTCTTGGTTTTCTTTAAAAGTTTCCTTTATTTCATCTCTTTAAAATCCGATCAACGTTTCAGCCAACATCCGTGGCTTTCATCAGGATCAATTCAGCACAAATACATTTCAGAACTAACATGCTTATATAGCTAAACAAATCAATAAATCAATCAATAAATGACTCACCACCTGTATTGCTATCACTCATCCTCGGCGTCCTTTAAGCCCATGTGCGCATGCGCAAGCATGCCGCTACCTGGAAGTAGTGTAATGACGTCACCATTCGTTGCCAGGGTTACCCGATGCCTCTACAGGCACCCCGACAACCGGGTAAACAAATTCCCTCTGTGCACCGATCTAATAGCATACACACAACCATTCAGGAAAAGATGTATATAATCCTAACAAATTAAAATGTTTAAAACACTATCATTACTGTTAGTTTTTCAGAGGTCTTATCAGTTACAGATTCATCCATATTCAATGGTATATAACAAATACTCTTAAGTCAAATAGACAATAAGCTATATAAATATACATTTTTGCAAAAAAAAAATATTTTGCTAATATATTTCAAATATATTTAAAGTGACATATCTTTTTAATCATTAAGGTGCTATACCTTGTGTTGTATTATGTGTTTTAATTATACAATAAAGTGTTTATCGATGTAATCTATTTTCTATTCATAGAAATACTTTTTATGTACCATAAAGGGATACTCTTGCTATTATATTCATTAAAGTGCCCAGAAGTGATTTATATATACAATAAAGTGCTTTTTTGTTTCTCTTAAAGTGACTCCACTGCTTTTTTATATATGTACATTAAAGTGCTTTACTATCACTTAAAGTGACACATTTGCTGTTTATGTACATAAAAGTGTTTAAAGTGAAAAAAGTTAAAGTGATGCATGCTCATTATCTACATTAAAGTGCTGAAAAGTTAATTATATTTCTATATACATTAAAGTGCATAACGTGATATGTCTCTATGATATATATTGTACATTTAGATTAAACAATCTTTACTATGCGTATTTACGTATAGATATAGCTAGAAATTAATTCTACGTATATATATTTATGTCATATTTTTACATAATTAGGTCATTTTATTACAATTTGCGGGACCTGCCTGATAACCGAGGTCGAAAGTATAGGGAATTTTATTTGCTAGCACTATATTTAATCCTATAACTTTCCAAGACACCATAAAACCTGTACATGGGGGGTACTGTTTTACTTGGGAGACTTCGCTGAACACAAATATTAGTGTTTCAAAACAGTAAAATGCATTACAACGATATCGTCAGTGAAAGTGACTTTTTTTTGCATTTTTCACACACAAACGGCACTTACACTGACGATATTATTGCTGTGATACTTTTTACTGTTTTGAAACACAAATATTTGTGTTCAGTGAAGTCTCCCGAGTATAACAGTACCCCTCATGTACAGGTTTTATGGTGTTTTCAAAAGTTACAGAGTCAAATATAAGGCTTGTGTTTCAGTTTTTCACATTGAAATT